AGCTGCATCTCCATCCTGCGAGCTTCGCCGACTAGCTTCATGGCTTCGATCGAGTCACCGCCGAGGCGGAAGAAGCTGTCGTCCAGACCAATACTCTCCGGCTTAATTCCCAGCACCCTCGCCCATAGCTGCTGCATCGCCTTTTCTGCCTCGGTCGATGGCAGTCGTTTCGGTCCCTGACTTGATGTCCGCATCTCCGCCAGCTGCTGAGCTGAGAACGACCCCCCGATCTCCCGCAGTCGCTTCCTGTCCGTCTTTCCGGACACCGTCATCGGTAGCTGTGCAACGGCGAAGTACACGTCCGGTACCATGTAGCTCGGCAGCCGCTCCGCCAGCTTCTTGTCTGCTTCGACTGGCAAGATAACTCTCGCCAGCGAGCCAGTCTCAACCGCCTTGTCTGTTAAAATTGCACTATCCGTCTCAATGTCCAATTGCAGAAACGCTGCTAGCATTGCGTTGTCCCTTTCTCCCCCTGGCAAGATCACTTCCACTGCTATCTGCTTGGCCTCGGGAATACACCTCTGCATGTTGTGCTCAATCTCGCCGAGCTCGACTCGCTGGCCCCGCACCTTGACTTGTTCGTCTTTGCGGCCCACATAGACCAGATTGCCGTCAGGCCCGTAGTAGACCAGATCGCCCGTCTTGTACATCCTGCCTTGCCTCCCGGGATGGCCTGCACTACCCTTCAGCAGCCAGGCGGGATTATAGATGAATGATGCATTTGTCTTCTCGACATCGTTGAGGTAGCCGCGGGCGAGGATTGGTCCTTCAACTAAGAGCTCTCCGATCGATCCTATAGGAGCCAACTTGTGGTGGTCCTCTGGGTCCACTACCCAGCCAACGGAAGCTATGGACTTTCCAATGGTGCCTGAATTAAAAGACTGAACTGCGGGGTAAGATGTACACCATACGCAACACTCAGTAGGACCATATGCAATCATCACTTGAACATGGCCAACCCATATCTTCCAATCATTATAGGTGACCTTCTCTCCTCCAAGAGTCAACGTTTGAAGTGAAGATACCCCTTCCGGCCCCAGCAATCGTGCAACAGTGGAAGTGAGAAACGCCCAGTTTATGTCCATTGTGTTGATGGCCTTGACAAGATCATTGCGACGATCGTCCTCAGACGGGACGCACACACAGCCGCCAAGAACTAACGTAGTGATGATTTCGTTGATGCATGCATCAAAGGTGTACGATGCGAACTGAAGAGCTCGACTGTGTGGTGCTAGTCCGAGTGCTTTTCCATGGCCCAAGCAGCTCGTAGAGACTGCTCGATGTTCCAACACAACACCCTTGGGTGTACCAGTACTTCCTGATGTGAACATCACATACGCAGGGTTACTTGTTTTCACCATTAAAAGGGTCACATCGACCCTGCTAAACAGCTGGTTGATGGATGGTCCGCTGACGATAGCTACAGTGTGGTCTGCATGTTCCCAGAGTGTCGCGTATTGCTCAGATGTCAGCACCACGGTGGCTCCTGTCTGCATTACAATCTCCTTGTGGCGGGTTCTTGGATGCTCTGGGTTTAGGGGTGCAAACGCTCCACCAGCTTTCATCACAGCTAGCATCGCGACTACGGTCCACATCGACTTCTCAAAGCAAAGCGGTACAATGTCTTCTGGCTTGACACCCAACCCGACGAGATGGCTTGCCAGTCTAGTCGACAGCGCATCTAACTCGCCGTATGTGAGCTCACCATCCCACGCGCAAATGGCAGGCGCTTCAGGCCGCGCCATTGCTTGCTCTGCGAACAGATCGTGAACGCATCGGTCGACGACCGCTGGTATCTCGCAGTTCGATACCCATAGTTCCTGTCTGTCCTCTGGCGTGAGGGCGTCGATGTCCGCTATCATTGTCTCTGAATCCGCTCTAGCCAGCTGCCACATGACATAGCTGAACTGGTCCAGCAGCTTCTTGACCAGCCACTCCTCCACCGCCCGCTCGTCGAAGCTTACTGTGATCCGTATCCCTTCTGCGGCCAGCGTGCACTGCAGCATCATCCCGTACGTCGTGAAGTCCTGCAGCTCGGAGTGGCCGCGCCAATTCCCTAGCACGTTGTTACTCTCGCGCGCAATATCTCCGGGTTGCACTACAAGCAGCGTCTGGAAGCCGCAGGCATGACGCGCGCCTGCTGCCACCTTGGCGATCCGTTGCAGCCCCGTCTGCTCGTAAGGGATCATGTCCGTCGCCTGTTGCTGCAAGGCGTTCAGGAAAGCGGACACTGTTTGATCGCTTGTCACTCGCACTCGGACTGGAACGGTGGCGATGGTGGGCCCGATCATAGCTTCGATGCCAGCGACAGGTGCATTGCGTCCCGTGATTGTAGAGCCGAGCACCACGTCGTCTGAGTTGGTGTATCGACTGGCGATGATGGACCAAGCGGCGCGGACAAGCGTTGATGTCGTCGTGTCAGAGGGTGCTTTGGGAAGCGGAGGACATTGATAGTCCATCATAGCATCTGCAACCGGCTGCTGCACCGCCGCTGGCAGCGGAGGGAACGGTGCCGCTTGGCAGTCAGCCAGAGCGGAGTGCCAGTACGCCGCAGCCGCGTCTTGGTCTTGCTGGCCGAGATACTTGACGAAGGCGTGGAAACCAGGCTGCTTCTTTACCACGCCGCCATTGCATACTTCTGCAACGGCGTCCAGGATTCGATGCAGCGACCAGCCGTCATACAGCGCGTGGTGAATCGTCCACACCATCCAGCGCTTTCCTCCCTCGGCTTCCTTGACGATAGCGTAGCGTGTCAGGGGATCACCGAGTCCCATAGAGACCGACCTGTCCTTCTTGAGATACTCTTGGAGTTCCTCAGCCTCTGTCCATCGGATGTCTTCTGCCATCACGGCCTGCAGAAGGCCAAGCTTGCTATCCTGCACGATACGCGTGCGTAAGGCTGCCGTCGACCGGACAATGCGCTCCCAAGCCGTCCGAAAGGTCTCTTCACTCATGTCGGCCCGTAGCTCTAGCACGCCCTGCATGATGTAATCGCCCGCTCTCTTCGAAGTCAGCGACAGCAACCCTTCCTGCAGCGGCGAGCATGGGTACAAATCCTCAACAAGGCCAACGTCAACGTTGCAGCTGGCGGCCGCTTCCTCGCGGACGGTAGCCACGTCCGCCTCTTCGCCTAGTAGAGAAAAGGGAAGAATTTCTTCGGCAGGACTGCCACTATGACTGTAATCTAAGCCAGCCAGGTCTGCGAGTATAGGATTTCGGAATATGTCTGCCACGCTCAGGTGCATTCCCATTCTGCGAGCTTCACCGACTAACTTCATAGCCGCGATCGAGTCGCCGCCAAGGCGGAAGAAGCTGTCGTCCAGGCGAATTCTCTGCGCCTCGATGCCCAGCACGCTAGCCCACAGTTGCTGCATCGTCCTTTGTGCTGTTGATAGGTCCTGATGCAGCTTAATGCCATGATTAGATGTTTCTTTTTGTTGTTGTTGTAGCGCGAGCATTTTGCGGTTGACCTTGCCGTTCTGGGTAATTGGCATTGACTCTAGGACAGTAATGCTCTGAGGAATCATGTAAGTAGGAAGCTGGGCCTCAAGCATCTCCTGCAACTGCTGTTGGGTTTTCTGCAGGAATTGGTGCCGTAACGGCCTGCTGGTGAGATTGTGCAGCGGTCGACCCACGTCATCATTAGGGAACCGGAACATCACCCGCTTCGCTCCATACTGGGGCTGATACCGGTGGAAGACAGCGTCTAGACCACCCTGCTGTGAGTGCTGCCTGCTCCAGCTAATCTCGACTCGGTAGCCGGCTTCTTCAGCAAGGTCAACCAAGTCAGTGGCAGAAAGGGCGGGGACATGCTGTGCTTCCTTGTACACAGAGGAAAGCCAGTCCTGCTGAGCTGTTGTCTCTGATGCCGCAGTGTCCAGCGAGGCGACAAGGCAGCGGCTTACAATGGTCTTGCTGTGAGGGATGTTGCTTACCGCGATTGGAGATGAGGTGGAGGAAGTGTGGAGCTGCTCTAAGAGAGACTGGCGATCTAGTTTGCGCTCCGCAAAGTCAAACCATCTCTCTTGTTCAATGTAGTGAATGCTCTGCTCTTGCTGGCCTCGAGGCCTGACGTGGACCACCACTGCGTATCGATAGCAGCTCAGCTCGTTGGTCGCTTTCATCTTCTTGGGCAGGATCTCGACGTGCTCGACTAGCTCTGGTAGGCGACTTGGCAGGGCGGTGAAAAAAGCTGGGTCAACCAGCAGCTCCCGCTCGACTCGCTCCATGTCGGCCATCATGCGTAGAATGTCA